TTTCTTTCACATTCGTGTTGAAATTTAACACAAACGTTGAAAATGTTTCTAACCATTATACATGTATTTCTGAATTGTTTAATGTTTTTCGAATTGATTCAAAAACTGAATTAATAGCTATTTTACTATTGTTAAATTCTATATTAATAAGATTCTCAATTATTAAGTAACTAAAAAAAAGATGTATTATTGAACTACTTTAAACTTATCTTCAATTTTTTCTACCCACAAAAATATATAATTTTAGCGAATCAATTCAATAATCAATTTATCATTTCAAATTTACTCTATTGTCTATTGTTTGTATATCCCATTAAATTGAATGGTTATCAAATTATGACAACTTAATTTATTTCATAATCAGATTTACTAAGTAGATATATTCCTCTTAATTTGATTATGTAATATCATAATTAATTTGTGTTCAGATAATGAAATATTTGTATTATTTATAAAATAGTTTTGTTTAGAAATGTGCTTTCTACATAATGTATATAATAAAAAATATATAAAATTATTTAATTATATTATTTTTATGATAGAGAAAAAAAACAAGAATAATGAATGAATTAATTGCTTGACTCGGTATTACAATATTAATTTCCCTATTAAAATATTAATACTTCAACTTACACGTAGGTTCGAGTATACACATACATATATGCACCTCTTGTCCCTTACAATTGAGCATCAAGGTAGACCATTCGTTACTAATTAGGTTTAGGGTTCGACACTATGGTCTTATAATTGGGTTATTCAAATAGTACTCATACACACACACACATGTAGGAAATGATAGGCCAATGGATGAATTTTTACCGAATTTAATAGTATTTTTAAAAATATGATCGAAATGAGAAGCATACACTTGTCTATATTTTGCACACTTTATATTGATATTGTAAAATTGTTCTATTAATAAATACTTTAATAAATACTTATTCTTCATTGAAATGATGTAGCTTGGCAGCATTAAGCTTTATTATTATATTAATAGAAATATAATTGGAATAAAAGTCTGTATTCTTCATAAAGTAATAATAGTAATTTTGTTATGCATTGTGCATACTTTGCATTTTATTTAATTCTAGGCGGAGTGTCGTAATAGCAATGTTAGTGCGGTAAAGAGGACTTCAACAAAATAAAAAAAGGTGAGAAGAAAAAGTTCTTGAAAGCACCCGTTACTGCACCTAGATATCTAGATCATATTGTAGTAAGTAGTGCCCGTCGCCTATATATAAATAGCACTATAGACTCCACATTATCACGTTCATCCGTGATACTATACATGCTTTGCTATTCCAGAGGACTAAGATGTTATGCCTCTTATCCTGCAATTTCATGTTTCTAACACAATAATTATTAATTTTGTTATTTTTCTAACACTAATATTATTTTTATGTAATAGAAAACATTACTACTATTTAAATGTTTTAACAGTGTAATTATATAATATTGAGGAACTAAACTCCGGAATAGTAATAGGAAATTTCTTTCACTGTTTGAAAGGTACATTATAGTGTGACATAGGCATTAGTAATTTTTAGAAGTTTAGAGAGACCAGACGTAACCGGGACAGGTTGTAATCATAGAAATGCATAATTGGGCATACATTAATTGTTCTTGTGTGGATTGTACGGATCTATACATAGATGTAAGTTATAATTTACAGATTTTTATATGTTTAAGCACAAATTCGCAAAACATATTTAAGTATATTTAGTAGTAGTGGATAAAAATTATATATATCTAGAAGAATGATATTTTAAAACAAAAAAAAAAGAAAATGTCGCTGGTGTACACAAGTTAGACATCTATATTTTCAGATCTATCATTTCAGTAATGAACACGACGATTGTGTTTATACCAAAAGTTCATGCTGCAGAGTGTCGTTGACATAAACAACGACTTCACAACAGTATACGGGCCCATTTTTATTTTCGATTTACTGAATCCAACAGATAGCACATTGAGTAGTAATTGAACCGCACGTCTTTGATATATCGAGTCTTTTATCGGATTGGACGGACGCAATAACAGACCGTTGATTGCTTCCAAGTGGACTTGGAAGATTGATTATTTTCTTGTTACTCGGTCTCCTGTTGTTCTATATAGTGCATTGTCGCTAGTAATACTTACGATATGTAATGTGAGACCATAAGTGAGTTATGTAATATCATAACCATCTAAAATTATAATATCTATCTATACCTATGTATTATAACAAAGTTGATGCATACTGAAAACAAATATATATTTTTATTTAAATGAGTATTTTTATAGTATTATTCATCATCTATGTTCAACATGAATTTTTATACAATAACATTTTTAATTGCATTGTTTAAAACAAAATTTTGGATTAAGAATTTACCTACTCGTACAACAGCCGTATTTTTGATACGACCGCCTAAACAATGGTTATCCAGGGGCACTGTGTGTTTGTGACTTTAAATCGGTATAGCAAAAAAAAAACAAACATTAATGTAAAAATATTGTTGGTCAAGCGGGCCGTCCGTCCGCCGCTAGCCAAAGCTCATAAATAAACAGAACTGGATGCTCTGTCGAAAAGTTCCGTAAAAAATTCACGAACGTAAAATTTACAGCCGGAATTCAGATGAGTTTTAATTAACCAGCCTGTGGAGCTGACCGACGAACGAATGGTGACGATAATTATATTAATATAATAGGTACATTAAAACGATGCTACAGGATCGATTTTCCATTTATTTTTAACCTACATAATTTTTACTTGTGAATCTCATTAAAAGTTGTAACTATATGCAGTCTTCAGATTAAATAATAACAATTATAATTTATAATACGTATGAACATTTATAATATAGATTAATATTATAAATGCTTATACGTGTTTTTAAGCTTGTTTACTACCATTTGAGCACTAAACGGCCCAACAAATTTGACAGGAAGATAGATCATATAACGAGCACAAATATAAGCTAGAACACATAATGAAATAGTGGATGGAATTTATCCAGACGGACTAATAGGTAACAGCTAGATGTGAGCTAGTACAGAAAATAAAAATTATCACTTTTATCTAGGCATGCTTATCGTAAAACCGGACTATGCGAACAAATTATCTCATACTAATATAAGAAATGAATTAAAAAAACAAAACTATACAATTCACCTTAATCAGAGAGGTAATAGTAGTCTAATATATATCTTTTATAACTAAATTCTAAATAATATGTTGATAGGTTGTTATGAACAACACTGAAGAGGCTGATAGCTTCTTCCACAGAAAGCGTACGTTTTCTAAGTAAGTTTTCCTGATTACGTTCAATATAAGTCTACTGTTGTAATATTTTTATTCGTTTGTATTGTATATTCAGTTATTTCACTGCCATATCTCACCCACAACTAAAATGTTCTAAAATTAATTAACGTAAATGTTCATTGTTTCACTTACTTTAGGAACCTGCTTGGCGCCTAAGGTAAGCGAAACAGAGGTACTCAGAAGACTGCACAAAGTCTCCCTCTTCATTTAGCTTGTATAATATTCATATTCTCGAACAATACATTTACAATTTAAAGTGTGAAATTATGCATTTATTACTTAAAGTGTGAAGTAGATTTTCAGTATGATTTACACCTACTACTATTAGGTACTAAAGCGATCTGCTTGCTTGACCTCTTGCCGAATTTTTGCAGCGCTGCTTTTTTCACTGCACTTATGTATTCTGCTTGACAGTTATAAATTGTAATATTCAAAGACTACACAAGTGAGATTTAAAGTACATTATTCTGTATCTTTGGCAGCGAGAATAGTCATGTTCATTAATGTCTGCAGATCTTTAATTATGAATATCTATCCCTTAAATTGTGTGTTATAACTACCCATAATCTTTATAAATCATATACGAAACAGGTTAATTTGGGAAACAAAAATAATTAGGCTGATTTCAATACTGAAATTTTATTCTAAATATATATAAATATTAAAATAATACATGTTCCCTTTATTAAATAATCAAAGGGAATGTGTATATTTAAAAATTTCTATATTTACTAATCCTTTTGTGTTGGTTTTTAGTAGGCCCAAATTCTTTAAGAATAACACAACCATATCATACGCTTTAATAATTCCATATAGTCAAAAAGTTGTGTATTTGTTTCTGAACTTAACAGAGCTAATTTGCATACATAGCACAAAACACGCCCGTGTGGGAGTAGGCAGGCGTGTGAAAATGCCGAAGTTCCGTATAATGAAGATGAGCTAAGATGTCGGGTAATCCGCCACATTGGACTGGAAACTTGGAACAAACCGCAGCCTGCCTTCGGAACTTCAGTTTGCTTGTTTGTTATACTTAGAACTGATATTTCGTAATGAAGTACGAAAGTGAACTAGAGGGAAAAGTTTAATATCTCTGTATGGATAAACTTTAATAATGAATTCAAACACTACATTTTGTTAGAAAATACTGAAACTTGTTAAAATTGAAATTCTATTTTATAGTAAATGTGAAGGAGCTTTGTCCACACTTATCCATTAATGCAAAGTGTTAACAGTTGTAAACACACATTAATAACTACATCGTGACACTAATACATCGCATTCTTTGACAATTAAAGTGTACCTGAATGCATTATTTTAACGTACCCTGTATAATCAGAATATATACTACTGTATAATAGAAAAACAAGCTTCTTGGGAATTATTGAATGAGTTAGATGTACCTATTTAGTGTATGTGTGTACTGTGTAAAAAGCTTCTTTCTAATATGAAACTTATTTCATTAATAAAAAATATAAAATCCTATATTAAATTGCAATATTTTGTAATAATATAAATCTTTATAGTTTTTATAATATTATAGTTTTTATTTTCAATAATATTGACTAGAAGGATTATTTAAATAAAAACAAGTACTAATCTTCATTATATTTAATTATATATACTTTTGATTCAACATAATAATGCTATATTTACTAACGTAATATTTATAATATACCATTTGAAATATGGACCACACAAATATTCTTATTTACATTGTGATTGTTCGTATATTTAATATTATATATGTTTCTACAATAATAATATTATTGAATACTTTTTTTTATAAATTTTATTATGATAAGTTGGTGTAAAATGATCTTTGTATAACACGTATTTAAGGGCCTTATTATTCCTTACTTTCGATTATACCTTAGTCCTATCTTTATATATTTATAGTAGTATCATAAATTCATAGAAATAATCTGTGTGTAGGTTATAGTAAAGAGAAATTGTTAAAGGATGAAGAGAAAGAGAAACATTAAAGACTTTGAAAAAGTTGGATTGCAACAATATATTATTGCCAAATATTTCAGTCAATCTTTTAATATATATTTTACCGATTATATCACATTTAATATGTACTTTTAATTATTTATTACTAGCATTTTATGTACTAATTGTGTCGTATTATTTATACCTATGCACATATTATTATCAACGTAACTATGATGGTCATTTTGTACTTTATTAGGATGAAATTCACTAATATAGCAAATTAATTAATTATTTATAATAAGTCTACATAACAAAATATTTATATAAGTACGTGTGTGAGGTTTGGAACTAGTTAATATATCATTTTTAATACAGTAATTTCAATATAGAAATAAAATTCATGAACTAATTATATTGTATATTTTCAATGATGATAAATAGGAGAGAGAGACGAATTTCAAAGAATATTGATATCTAAACCAATTATAATTGACTTATATATGAATTGCAATTCACAAATTTGTGTAAAAGTGAAAAAGTAACCTGTAAAATCTATAATATGTATAATGTTTTTACTATCTATTTGTGTAGGTGTATTTTTTTATAAAAAAAGGTTGTTACTCATACATTTCGCTATTTTATTAATTGAAAACATTATTAGCAGAGCGTGCAATAGTTTAGTAGCGAAATTCAAAATACACTAGCCACTGTATTTTTGGTAATGATTTGTGATCATTGAATTGAATTAAATACAGGTTTTGGTATATTAGGAACAATGCCTTTATGATTCTAATTTCTATTTCATTTGAATATTAATCTGACCACGCTCTACGTGTTTGCTGTAATATAACTAATACCTATTATATAACTATTGTATATCTTAATGTAAATCTTAGCTGTAAATTATGAAAATGCAGTCTTATTGCCTTTTTATACATAAGTAGCGTCAAAATTGCGGCAAAATGTCTACCCGTTAAATCATACTTAACCTAAGTGGCTGGAAAGTAATTGAAATATTTTCGATATAAGTAAATTAAAGGTATTTGCCTGGTATTAAAGTACTAACGACGATGTTAGAAAGTCGATATTAATTTTCATATCTTCGGAAGTCTCTCATCAATATCAATTTACGGTCTACTTCAAAAAGCCCAATTAATTATATTTGAAAGCGATCGAATAATCTGTAATACATTTGAAGATATTGTTTTTAAATATTATTTATACTTTCAAAGTAATTATTTAATTCTGAAAAAATACAAATCAAGTAAATTATATATTATTAACTAATTCATCACGACTTAGTATGCTTTTTCGAAATAAAAATTAGCCTATAGTCATACTCATTATACTAAATATCTTCATAACAAATTTCAATTAGATCCGTTCAACCGATTAGTACTGAAAAGAAAACAAATAAGCAGACAGAAAGATCGACCACACTTTTTTTTAGTGTGTTTAAATATACACAGTTTTTAAATGTAATTTTTTCTTACTTCAGTCTGCGATAATTAATCATAAAAAACATATTTTAAAGAGATGTCTCCTCCAAATATTTGTTAAATATATTATGACAAATTTTAGCAATTATTTTACACCGCTCTGTAATTATCCGGTCGGTTAGTAAACTCATAACAGGTTGTTTGCCGGCAAAACGGTGTTAGATTACTTAGTTGAAATTAAAAATAAGAGTACTTTGCATATTTTTGTTGGATTTACAATAAATTACTTTTTCACACACAAGTGATTACAGTTTAATATTTTAAAAATATTTGTAGGTATTCTATTTTCTCATCATAATTACTTTGTAGGTGGAGATGAGATGCAGTGACATCTCTAAGATTCTGTAAAGATATAATTTTAAAAATTAAAAATTGTAGAATTTACATATATTACGTTACATAATAAATTAATAAGAGTTACTGATACCGCAATAATACTAACTAATGCTTTCTCAAAGTAAAATTTGCTACTGGCACTATCAAACTCTTCGGTTATTTCAAATTTGTTAATAATTTTACGAACTTTGTTGCTTAACTTTTGTTCGTTTATAGAACTAGGGTAATTAATGGTACGATTTTTTATTGTGGCATTATCGATTTTATGTGTAGTTGTAGGTTTATCTGATACTTCTGGTGCTACTTCTCTGTCGTCCTCGTCATCTGATCTGTCTGCTGAACCAAATTGATTATCAGGTCCTTCAATAGGTGTAGAATATTTGTACTCTTCCTTTCTATTCGCCGGGCTAGTATTTTTAATAGTAGGACCAGGTATTTCTGTAATATAAAATATTTAAAAAAAAATTGCATTAAAAAATATCTAACTGTAATTAAGTCTTGTCGTAAAAAAGATCTTGAAAATAGTCTCACTTTTTCAAAGCATACTTGGTCCATAGGAATGTGTGACCAATAATTGTATTGTAACACAACTCCTGTTGGAAAAACAATGTCTTACCTATAATGGAGACGATAAAAATAAGCTTTTGCTGAGATAACATAAGCCAGGCTTAAAAATATTTAGTACATAAATTATTCGGCCTTGATTCTTTAAAATTAGTTGAGAATATCCTTCTAAATTTATTAGATAATAATATTAGCTATCATTATTCTTGTAGTGTTTTTATTTCAATATAAGAACTTACCATAAAGTCTAATAATACTGTCAACTTCACCAAGTGAGTTTTTAGCGACACATTTGTAGCCCCCAACATCAGTGGATGTTAGGCGCCGTACCGTTAATGCCATGCGACTCTCGAAGGAGCTTATCACCGTGTTTACAACTTCATATTTGCTGGATGATATCACCATTTCATCTATATAGAAGTAGACATAAATTAGTAGTTTGTTACAGTGTAGATCATAAAACATTATAGGTACACATAGCAGTGATATGATGACATAGCACAAGCGAGTTTTATTTTCAAATGAAACAAAGAGTCGACTATGTTGTAAATTATCTACATCTTTAAAATAATTCTTTATAAAAAGAAAGAAAAAAATAATGATCAAAATAAAAATATTTATAATAGAGGGAAATCCTATGTGGAAATTTAACCAACGACCGGTGTTTTAAAGCGTAACACCAGCAGGTCTATAATACAAAATACTATATAGTATATCTAAGGTCTTTTATTTTTGGATCTCTTAATCAGTTACGTCAGTTTGCTTGTCCACTACACTACTGAATAAATCATTCAAATAATGACCTTATAGTAAGAAATACACGACGAATTTAAGCGTCCAATTTGTTACGTAGAAGTAACAACTTCCCTCGTTCACAAAGCGAAACAAGCGTATCAGTTTGTATCGTTCATTATTTATTGTAAAATATAGGTAACAATATATTATAGAGAACCGCATAGCGCTGGCACTGGCTGCACCTTTAAAACAATACTTTTACTATATATAAATACGAGTATTACTCGACAGCCACAATAAGCCCCAAGTGCCTGTTGTCCGCAAATGATAAAGTGACTCGTTTTCTGAAGAAAACACTGTTGCAGCGCTACGTCGAGTAAACAGAGTTGGTATTAGGTACTCTGGACTCAGGTTATTGGAAGTTTTAAAGCAATAAAACTTGCTGCTTGGTAGCTACACGCAAAACACATAGGTATATATAACATAAGGCTGGTGATGGAGACAATTATCCCATATATTATGTTATAAACCTATCGGAATATTGTTTTCAATTTTTGCTAAAAGAAACCATTATTTACCATTTAATTCTTATGGTTCTGTTCCACGATAGGTATCAGTATTAGAATTGAAATATAGTATTATAATACAAAAGTACTTCAATCATTGGACCATAACTGAGACTGACTTAACTGGATCAGACAAATATATAACTAACTAGCTGTACCCGCGACTTCGTCCGCGTAAAATAGTGACCTTGAGCAAATAATAAAAAATATATATTAATAATCTAACCCAATAAAAGCAAAAATGAAATTTCCATACATAATTCCATACAATTCAATCAACAGCCAAAAATTAAGTTTCAAACTACTATCTTTAAAATGAAGATACTTCCATACATACCATACATACATTACATCTCCCCATTCAACCCCTTATAACCCTTTTTCTTGTTTTTTTTAATGCTACTTATATTAGTGTCATCATGTACCAATGATAAGATGTCGCTATACTGTAACCATTTATGGCTGAGTCCTGTGGCGGTAGGTACTGATACTCAACAGCCTAAAAAATGGGTTTCAAGTTTCTAGCTTTAAAAAATGACAATACATGCATACAACATTTTAACTCCCCTTTTGACCCTTACAACCTATTTTCGTTAATTATATTTAATCAATACGCAAAGAAATAAGATTGAAGCTTAAACTTTTAAAAAATTTCTCTTTCAGTCTCTTATAACCCTTTATAGCATTAAAAAGTAACTTTCATTTAAATCAGTTCAGAAGTTTTGGCTTTTAAGACAGACAGACAGAGTCACTTTCACTTTCATAATATTAGTAAGGTATTTATTAAATAAACTGACCCAAAAAAGTGTAAGAAAAAAAGCTTCATCGTTCTAGCTTCAAATATGACGAATTTCCAATCTGCTATTTTATTTTACCCTTGAATGGTGACAATGTGATATTTACAAATTTAAATGTCATATTTATTTATATTTAATAAACAGTTTAAACATTTCTTTAAATTCTTTTGAAAATTGGTGGTCCAGTTGGCCAATAACATAATAAAATTTTGTTAAATCAAAATAATAGATGTGATATTCTAAATTGCAAACTATCCCTCTACTTGCGCGAACCATATCTCTGACTCTCCTGGCCAGAATGGAGAAACGCGTATTCCGAACCTGAATAGCTCGGATGGAACGGTAGATGTTGTTTCTTCCAAGGAAATGTTGTTCATATGTATTGACAACATTTTAAATATTATATGTTGTTTTATTCTTCAAAAATATTAATAATATGTTCTTACGCTCTTGTCCAAGAGCAGGGCCATCAGTTATAGGCTATACCAGGATTATATTTATGTATTTATAAAATAAAATTGCAGAGCAAACGTTTATTCATTTAAATTCATAAGGAGACAACGGATTGACAATAATCAGTTGCGCGCGCTGCTTATACAAATGACATATATGTTTATTTATGACATATGAGCGTTAATAAGTCGCATATCTAGTACAATACTGGTGTAATTCAGAAATTAAAAATTTTTGAAAATAGACTTAATAACACAATTATAAAGTAGACTTTCCAAAATATCTAATTTTTTAGTTAAGCCATTATTATAATAAGTGTGTATTAAACCGCATAAAGATAACCTTGCATTACCATTTTCAACCCCTTACAACCCTTTTTTCGCATTAAAAAGTAGCCTATGTCCTTCCTCGGCGTCGAGACTATATGGGTAATATATTTAAATCTGTTCAGTAGTTTTGGCGTGAAAGCGAGACAGACAGACAGACAGACAGACAGACAGACAGAGTTACTTTCGCATTTATAATATTAATAAGGATTTATATCTAGCAAAATTACTGTATAAATATATTTTTATATTTTGAAAAACCCGTTTTATTATATGTACATTATATAAAATTTTTGTATATTTTATTTTTTTTTTGAAGTGATTAAATATAAGTAATATTATATTCCAATTTCCAATACAAATTGATCGGAATTGGTATCAAAAGTAAAATTATTACATTTTTCTTGTGAAATAGAAAAATAATAATAATAAATAATAACACACATTAAGTTGTATCTAACAAAATGAACTGATATGTTGTCCAAACCTAATGATGTCATTAGGTATGATCCTCTAACATATCTCTAGAGATAAGGCGTTAGCGGTTCCTTCTATAGTCATTAGATAACAGTCATTAAATATTATAGTGTATTTCAAAACGTATGAAGTAGTTTGTTGATACCTTAGTCACTACCGCTATTATTTTATATATGAATTTGTTTTTCTGATAGTTATTACTAATATATGAAAAGGCTGAAATTGAACATAATTTTTATGAAAGTACGCGAATGGCCTACTTAGATTAGAAGATAGAATCCTTACATTTTAGCACAGATTTTAGTAAGCATTCCTATGGGATAAATAAAAATGTCAATGCAGACAAAGTTAAAGTAATATTCGTATAATTTGCATCTTTATGTCTCTTTACTATTACTTTGTTGTTTTGTTTCTTTTTATTGCAATTCCACTACTTGGTATAGTCTCTTTTCATAATACTATTACTGGCTGCTCATGCGGCTTCGTATGGGTGTAAATTATAGCATTGCAGGAGGGAATGTTTAGGACGACTTATGACATGTATTAAATTGGTAATTGCTTTAGACTATCGAAAAAATAATATGGAGGATTCGTAATAATTTTATATTTAGTTTGGTATTTCTATAGTAAATACATCAACAGTTGCATAATAGTTTCTTAAATATTGATTATATCAATTGAACTGGTTATGATTGGATTGGATTATTATATCTAACCAATCGTTATAACTAAGATACATATTGTATTTACGTATTATTTTAACCTTTCTTATTTTAGAAGGCTGTAATAATATAACTCTATTATTGTTACTATCAATGTAGAGATAACAATTACAAGAAGTTACTCGGAATTGCCTGGTCGGTTAAGTACAATAGGTACATAAAGCGCATTAATTTTATTATTGGATACAGCGTTGCCTCTGAGCAAGTTTACAAGGATGCGATAACAGCAGCAACGCCTTTCCTAATCTTAATTTCGATCGAAACTTAAGTTTGTTTACTCTCCAGTGTATTTCTTCGGCTTTGCGACGTGCGGCAAAGGTGGCCTTCGAACAAAATTACTCGAGATACGCCGCCCCACCCGCTTCATTATAACAAGAAATTTCATCTCAATTAATGTCTAAAATAACACTGTAACACTCTTAATTACGCTCGAGTGAGGACTGCTTAATTAACACTTACATGTCAGCCGCCCTAACATAGATTGATGACAAACCAAAATGACGATCCTGTACTGTTCGCCCTTTCGGGTAGGTTTTGGCAATGTATATGAAAGCGCCAGTCACTCGTAGTAAGTTCGTGAACAAAGGCAACGGCCACAATACACACCACGGATCATAACGCAGAAGTAAAACAAGTTGGGAGCCTAATGCGTTTTATTAATTAGCGCTTGATACTTGAGCGAAAATAACGCCCCGCGTTTTTATCGTGCCGCCACGGAGTAAGGTATTTTTCATTACAATTCCCTCTTACTATAGAAGGATGCTCTGGCTAACGTTTATTTCACAGTTTAGGATCCTGGTATGTAATGAGGGCTTCGCCAAATTAAGTTATCCTACCATACGAATATAAACGCACATATATGAGTTGTTTCCCCGTTAATATATATAGGTACAGTTAATTAAAATAATATATACATTATTATTGTAAATATTGTATGTGTTTCAATGAAAAATGTAAAGAAACAGATCATATTTAAACATTTTATATCGATTTCTCATGATTTGGATTCTCATCTTTTGGTTGTTTTATGATTGAGAGAGAGACTTGTACTTGAATGTCATTATTACATAGTATAAAATAAAGTCGCTGTCGCTGTCTGTCCGTCCCTATGTATGCTTAAATCTTTAAAACTAAGCAACGGATTTTGAAGCGGTTGTTTTTAATAGATAGAGTGATTCAAGAGAAACGTTTATATACATAATACGTGTACACCCGTGCGAAGCCGGGGCGAGTAGCTAGTTCTAAATAAAGTGGAGTTATGTTAGTACGTAGTAAGAGCAGCTATAGTGGAGTCAATTTTTTATCTAAAAGGTTCAATAACAAAAATTTTTTAGTATGGAAATTTTTGTTATTGGGCCTTTTAGATGTGCACCCGTTAAAATGTATTAGTACTTAGTATATTATATAATAGTATTTTAAACACTGTTCATATCATTTAAAGATACCTGTCTAAAAAAATAACTATCTGAAATGTTTCACTTTCCATCAAAATTTAGCGAGCTGATTCAGTGTTAAATTAGCAGTAATATATAACCACTAGAAAACAAAATCTCTTTGAGAAGCTGACATGGTTCTAACCTTTTAACATTAAAGAGCTGTCATTCATATTGTCAGCAGGAAAGCGTCGGCACCATAACTGAGCCTAAAGATATGTATCTATTTAGTGTTTTACTAGGTAGGTACCTCACGTATTCTCTTTTCAAATGAACGCCAAGCGTAAACTGGAACTTAAATTTTCCAGAAGCTCAAAACTCGGGCGTCATTGAAAATTAACCAGTAAATTTCATGCGACAACTGCCGAGTAGAGAAGTTTGCGAAACCGCCGTCGGCTGTGTGGATGAAGTAGGGGAAACATTGAGTAACAGCTAGTATCACTTCATACAGCTGATTACAGCTTGTTTCGAATAGTATACGAAACAGCTATTTCTATAGAAACATTGAATCTATCAATGACGAATGACTCTTTGTTTTGCAATGTTAATAATAACAAAATATAACAAAACGTTATCAATATAACGTTTTGTTTTACGAGTACCTAACTCTGTACACTAATGGAAACACTGTATATGATATTAATCCGAAAATTGGTGTTAGTCAGATTTACCTACTTCATTTCATGTTACATTTAAATAGGTTCGAAGTATGTTGTAGGCAGGCATGTACTGTCTTATATTTTCCACAATGGCAATAGGCAATAATCAATATGAAAATAAATATATAGGTACCTATTTTGTTCTTATAGTGATTTCCACGTTTTTTTAAAACAAGTGTTACATGACACTTGAATTATTTCTTGTGAATAGGTAATAGCAAGTTTTGGAGCTTTAATATTGTACGCACACACACAAATACACAATACCTCCGTTATTAAATCAAAGAATACCCGGATAAATGTTTTATTACGTAACTTACTTCAGTTTATTTTACGGTCGGATAGGTGTTACTTAATGGATTTTTCACTGTGGATATTACGCGCGGTTTTATTATGATTCCTCAGTAATGTTTCTACTTTTCAATGTTATTGGAACACATTCGGTGTTATATGACTGGAATACGAGCATGAGACCTGGTGACGACGGAGATTATTGAAATGCACCGTAAATAATCTATGCAATGTTGCAATTTTCGCCTCTAAAGTTTAATATAACATATGAATATTTGACGTACATTCTCACGTTACTAGTAGGCATAAAATGAAACGATTTATGCGAATATCTCATGTCTGTAAAGAATTTTATATGAAATTTCTTCGGGAAACATAGGTATATGAAAGCCCTCACCTCATACGTGGCAATATGAATAAAATATGGATTCATCAGTTGAATAAACGAACATTTCGTGCTTGAATAACCTTATATTCACATGGGGTGTATAATGATCACTTGGGTATATTTGACTGGGTTGGCAGGCGAACAGGGTTTTGATTTCGTTACTGTTCGTCTACAATCATAAAAAAGCAATGTCATGCTATATTACGCTGATAGTACATTAGCATAATATGAACACGCTTTTATATCTAAAATCCATATACCTACATTGTTTGCGAATTGTAATAACGTAATGAAATCTGATAAAAACATTTTGACTATACTTAATATCAATTAGCGTCGAGTATTAAATCTATTATACTATAATATTATTTTAAACAACACATAATTTTAAATTTTGAAGATTTTGCCTATTTTAAATACATGTATTACGCACTAGAAGAGCCTGCGACTTCATATTTCGTATACTCGTATTTTTTGGTTAGTATACCGATTGAAATAAAAGAAACACAAGTTTTTAACTGAAGCTTACCGCAATATATTAGTGAAAATGGCACCCGAAACGGTTAAGTTCTTTCAGAGATTAGCGCGCACAGTCAAACTGATGAACATTTTAACAATCGCTGTTTTAAGGTTCTAGTATCGTCAATAAACTTTTCGAATAACAAATAATATATTTTCTTATATATCTTTTATATACAGATTATCATAATAAATATATTTATATATTAAGTTTTTATCGAGTTTAAACCACGTCATTGCTAATTCACGACTGAATCGTGCCAAATTATTCAATGGTTTAAATAGGAACTTAGTGACTCAGAATCTTGTCTGGTTGAATAAATGCTTAGATTTGGTTCGTTACTCTATTAACCTATGCAAGGTTTTTTGTATAAATACGAAGATGATGTATTTACCAGTTAATATTTCAGTATAACTTTTTTATTTTGGAAGTTATTTTTATTACTTATGTTACTTTCTTACTTTCAATATTTGTGTGTAATTATTAATTAGGAGATTTTATTCATAGTAATTATATCTGCTTATTTCTGTCAAGTAATTATTATACTCTCTCAGGTGGCTGTTATCTTTTACATTTCTCATAATTCTAAAAATATTTGATGTTTGATACTTTCAAACTTTTATGTTCCATTTCTAGTTAACTTAAATATAACCTTGCAATTAATGATATAAATTTAAAGGAATAAATTCTTAAAAACACAGATATCAAAATTTCTGTCTTTAGTTAGTATAGTATTTAAGGATGAGAATGGTGGTCGTTATATAGTACATCCGGAGGATATAAATTATAAAAGCATTGTTGGAAGGCCGCACAGAACCTCTGTAAAACTGACGGCAAGTCCACTCAAACAGAACTAATGTGCATTGTCTTATTCCACCACAATAGCTCAATTTCCTTAAGACTTAACTGACGCACTCGTAAATTAAAAGTTAATATCTCATTATTTGCAAGCTACACTCCGCCCATCAGGTTTTTGTTAAAAACACACTAATTTCAAACAGTCTTTGGTTAGAAACGTTAAAATCCAGAATGACGCAAGTAAAAGTTACATTATTTTTCGTAATTCCTTCATGAATTGACTCGATTGTGTGATATTTCAAGCGGAATTTAATTTGTAGAAGAACGTTTGAGAATATATTACTAATTTGGTACAGAAAATGAGTAATTTCTATAAGGGAGTCGTTTTATTAGGTACCTATTTGCGTCAGACCCAAGTAAGATAATAAAATACACGTAATTCGTGGAAGCAATAGAATTTATGTAGAAATTTTGATAAATGTATTTTGGAAGAATAAGAAAGACTTTTCTATAATACTTTTCCTGTATATTTTTTCTTGAACTTCATATCAATAATTTATTAAATCAACGAATATTTGTACACTCTTATAACGCTTGTATTAGATGACGCATATAACGGAATGTTATACAACAATCACAACGCACTTAATACAACAACAACAATTGGTCTTAAAAGCATTACATCTTTTTATACTAAGTTTACAATAAAGTAATTACTGTATAATAAAGTATTATAGACAAACAATTTAATATCTATTAAAGTTTATATATGTATGTACCTATTAAATTTTTTTATAATTTATGATAATTGGATTGTACATTTACGTTATCATTGTAAAGAACTTATGAAGTTTAAAATCATAAATCCACTGCTCTGTATATACTACTCGTAGATAAATATGTTTAAGTAAATTATTAATGTTATTATGTCGACTTACTGTGCTATATTTACGTAAATAAACTTGACTGGTTACTTTCATTTTTAGTCTATGAAAGATTTATCATTGTGTTGATTATTGATTTTGTTGTTTATAGCGTATTCCCAAAACTTTGTTATAGTAACGGACGGAAATATCCCAGTGGACTGCTTAACTTGACGCTGAGCACAAGATACAACTTCTTACTAACATCCTAAGATTGATAAAAGAAATTACTTATTTTATTCTGAGATTTCAGAATATAAAATAAAATATTCTACCCCTACTGTTTACTCAATCGTATGATTATTCCAACTTTAATGCATATTTTAACTATAAATATACATATTTATATTTAAATTAATCTATATCGAAGATATATCTCTATGGTATGCACATATGAATGTATATATGTGTCATTGACTTTTGAAGATAAACTCTATGTTAGAGAATAGCTTCAATCAATTAAATGTTAAATTGTAAAAAATATTGACTACAACTTCATAATCATATTAGTAATACATTAACTGTGTCAAAAAATCAGTATAAAACAGTCGCTTTTTTACCTGTGTCTCTGCTCATTTCTTATCAACAACGGTATGACATGGTTTTCACAATAGTTTTAGATTACTTCTTCAAAACAATGTACATATAATACATATAATATATATAATGCATATTACTATAAAACTCGCTCGTATATCTACAGTATATTCGTAGGCAACAATTGCTAGAGTACCTACACGTTACTAATAGAACAAATAGAACCATTTAGATTTAAAAAATTACTTTGAATGTTGTAAATTAAGTTATTGTATACTTACTAGAATCTCTAACCCAGTAATTAATGGATTTTGGTGAAGACTCGACATAGCACTCAAGTGTGACATCAGTACCCACTGGTGCACCCACAAGTTGATTCGGCACTTGAATCACAGGATGGACTGTACATAAAAAAACAACTATTCAGTGATATACAAGTATTATTTGAATTGTACTTATTTAAAATACAGTTGAACTGTATACTTTCTCGATTAAAGTTGAACTATATATATTAGGTATATAGGTATTGATAAAAACAATTATACTGATGAATACAAATGTTTGCACCGTACGAGAAATGCGAACCCGCGACCATCGGAAGTAAAGCGTTGTGGTAGACCATCGAGGCTGTCTATATGATATTATAACTACAACTTTTATTAAAACAAACTAGGGATTCTATCTCTATTTAAATTGGCTAGAGAAAAAGTAAAGCAAGGATTTTTTCTATATCACTGCCATAATATGGAAATGATGTAGATTTAACTGAGAAGAATGGACAAGAAATTCGCTTGGTTATAGATAATCTTGTTACAAGAAAATATAACAATCTTTTAATGAACGTGAAATAATTTTGATAACATAATTATCTATAAATACATTATTGTAAATTTATAATTTTGCACATTATACAGCGGGATATTAGCGTAATTAACGTTTATAACAAAAGTGAGCTTTCCTTATTATAGAAAATAAACCGAATACTTATTTTTAAACTTTTGTGTTTGGTGTAAATTATAAATATAGATAATCTGGTCTTGACATCTGAAAATAATCTCAAAATAAAGGTAGTATACTTCCGTTTCCACAATATAAGCACAGTTAACGTGAGTACTGAGTGTCGCGATCTTTCTTTGTACAATTTAGGGACGGTAGTAGAAAAAACCGCAGATACCTATACCGACATCGTTCTACTCAGTCAGCTCGTGACCGTGGCTAAAGCAAACTAGTCAAAATGTCGAGAGAGATAAATACTTATATATAATATAAAAGTATTCTTCCTGAGATCGGATTAACTACATTAATAAGAAAGCGACGAATATTGCAGTTTTTAGTGACAGTAAAATAAATATATAGATTTGGTATTCAAAAACCAATATTTTTTTTTTATTTATTTATTTGACTTTAATGCACAAAACCAATGTGTATATATGGCGGACTTAATACCTTGCGGCGTTATCTACTAGTCAACCAAGAGTGGTGCAGAGAAAGACTGTTGGAGGTGCACTAATATAAATGAGAAATGTCAAAAAATATAAACAAATACATAACGATCTGACAATCAAATTATAAGTAGCTACAGCCTCAAATTGAAAGTAAGAAAAAAAAAAAGAAAATATAGAGAAATAACAGAAAGATGTGAAAAAAGAAGAAGGACAGAAAAAAATGTTACAAATTTATATAGGGTTCCCGCAATTTCTGTTTAAACGAATTTTATTCCTGGCGGTCTTGATATCAGGAGATAAATCATTCCAGAGTTTGATTGCCTGACCGGCAAGTAAATAATGGATGATATGTAATAATAATGATAATACTAAAGAGATTTTCTTTTAATAGGTACTACTTTCCTACTGAAAGTAACATAATAATTTTCATATGTAATTTACTATAGATACATAATAATTGGTTATATATAATTATTTGTTATAATTTTCGTTTTTCTTGTACATAATAATTGATCAACGCGACGGTTATATATAATTAAGTCCGTGTATACATTTTTGTGTGCAAAAGAATAAATAAATAAATAAATAAATATAATGTAATATTGTAATATAAACACAATATAGTGATATCTTGTACCAAAGGGGGTCACTTTGCCTGACTTGACGCGAAGACACAAACAGTTCGTAACAGCCTGAAAATAATTAAAAGCTACTCTCGACGACATTAAATAACACCATTAATAACAAGAAACCTCTGAAAGTTACTAAGATAAACAACAATTACCAAGAATTTGCCGCGTTCCTATTTCATCCTCCGAATGAGGTTGGAAAAAGAAAGATTTGGAAAGAAATCCCATTTACTATCACACTAAATGGAGTTGTTATTAATATACATATTCTTTCATAACAGTTGTACCAAATCAGAGGCATTGTCAATTGACATGAACGCTGCATTTGAGATAATCACATGCGCATGGTACCTATATTTAAATCGAACGTGGCAGAAATAACCATATCAACTAGTTTCACTAGCTTACTCTGCTCTGCCCTCTTTGAAATTATATCGACAGAATGGCGGACCGATCTAAAAAAATGATAGTGATATACTATAGTTTTATAGAAGACATAAATATCCTAGGATGTAGGATTGTGTGTGTTAAATTTAATTGTTGAATATGCGATGGCGGGGCGGGCCACTAGTAGTAAATAATTACATATAGTAATATCCAATTACATTGTGTAGATATGCTGTTTCTTAACTTTCATCTATAGTGCCAATGCACCCTCAGTGTGGATCTATGAATGATATTAAAATGTTTATGTTATTTTGTTTTATTTTATTGGCATTTTGATCTAACAAAATAAAGCTGCTAAATAAATTTAGTTAAATGTAATTAACATAAAAAAATTGCATAAATGAACTTCTTGCTTAAACTGTTACTAACATTATAATTATTTACAAGAGTTAATTTGTTAGTTTTTAGTACATATATACTAACTTAACTATGTGTTACAAACATAGTAAATATAATATTACTGTATAAATATTTTTTAGATGCAAAAATAATTTAAATTTTTTTTTATTTACAGTCAACATATTCCAGACAGACAGACATAGAAATGAGAATATGAGGACGAAAGATAAAATAATAGTTCACTCTAACATCCGAGCTGTAGAATATACATAATATATGATCTAAGTCTATATGGAATAATGCACGTTCAGATCCTGAAAGAATATTTCAAATAAATGCAGTGGTCCTGGAAATTACATTCCACATGCAGACAGACAGAGTCTACGCTCTCTCTCTCTGTAGATAGATAGTTAAATTTTGTGGTTAAAAGTATTTTCTTAAAATATCTGTACCTATTTTCCAAATCCCAAGACACGTGGATATTAGAGTCAATTACTCACAAAGTAAATGATCTTGGGCTACCGGTATATAATTCAACTAATTAAAATAATATAAATGCATACATAATATAGGTACGTAATTATTCATATAATTGGAATCGCAAACATGTTAACGACAAACGGTAAAAATGTTTATAGGTTTGATCAAATTCGCGACCATCTCCAGTTCAGACCGTACATTAAACGATTATATTAATATTTATATAATATCTTAAGATTATTCACATAACACTATTTAGTGTTAAGCTAAGCAGACCTTGTCTTCTAGACAACTGATTTAAATACACGTGCGAGAAATCGGAAAAAGGAAGTAAGGTGGTGTGCTAACGGTCGCTAAGACACCGATGGTCATGGATTTATTGCTATACTAGCAATGTCATAAAAATCTTAAATAATTTACAGACAAACTCAATGGCCTATCGGTTTGAAATACCGCCATACCTTACGACAGTCTTCCTATGTTTTTGTTAATGTACATTACTGTATCAGTTATTAAAATCATTAGCATTAGTTCTGCTTAGTTTGGAACTAGATGGTGCAGTGTATTGTGTATATTTTTTATTTAAAAACGATAGAAATTAATTACAATTAATTTGTTGTAAATTTTTGTGATGTTTGTCAGTTGAAGACTGACTGAGACATGCAGATTTGCAGAAATGACAACGCATGAATAATATCGCGGACATGTCCGTATACTACGTATCATTCGGTGGACCATCACTTTTTTGACATTCTATTTAGTTAAAAGAATGATTAAATACTAGTTAAACGATACTTACAATGTACTTTAATTTGTATCCTCTTGCTTACAGAGGGTGGTACTCCATTGCTCGCTATACAGAGATATGCCCCCATATCCGACCGAGAGATTTTTGTAAGCATCAAAACTTCTTGATCGTAAGTTGCAACTAAGAATTCATAATGAAGTAACATTAACAAACATATTTCAAATATTATTTCATGCAAGTTCGATCCAATTAAAATATGAACACAATATATTATTGTGGTCGTTACAAAATGTTTCATTTTCGCTACCGTTGAACATTTTTATTTTTAAATAGCAATTAGGCATCTTGCTCGTCTAATGATTTTATGCAACCATAGAAAAATCAGGCATATCAGAACAATATGTACAAATTATTGCATGCTTCGTAATTATCAACTTTCTTACGCACGTTATAGTTCAAACTATTCATAGACATGATAAAACATATTTTAAAATTATTTTTACCTCTAGTTTTACTGCCTTGAGCATCTCTAATTACTATATCAGTGCCGTCTTCTCTTCTCCATACTATATTTGGCTGAGGCATACCGCGAGCACGACAGGACACCTTTGCGGTTCCACCTTCAGGAACCATGATATCGCCAGACGTTTCTTCAGCTACAAAATCTGGTGGTACCACGACTTGTAGGTAAGCCATCTGTTGAAATTAAGGATACTTGTAATTATCTCTGTCTTCTTTGTAAAGTAGCTGACATAAAGATAAATACATAAAATCACAAAATAAAACAAAATAATATTTATTTCATAAATTGAATTGAAGGATAACTAGAGATAAAACGCAAATAATATTTCAAAGAAATTAAAATTAAAAATATAAATTTTAAAAGTTAAAAAATAATTCACTCCCTCAAGTGAATTATTTTTGTCCTCAAGGATAAGAGGATGTCTTATCCTTTAAATTTCAGTCTTTTAATACTTTCGTAATTATTCAGGGATTGAATTATTTTTAAACTTTTAGAATAGCAAGAGTTATATCTAGGATGTCAAATGACAACGTGATATCCATAGTGCTGTTTATGTATATACATGCTGGTGATGATTTTCACTTAATATCAGGTGGACTGACAGGATGTTTGCCATTCCGTTACATATAAAAATTTTACACGGTAACAGAAGAAGTTTTGACGTTATGTCGTGGATAATACAAAAATGCTTAGTTTTAGTGGAGTCATGCTGCCTCGACGTAGACGTCAAAGCCTACAGGGCTGTCGCCGCTGACGATTTATGTCGTTATCTGGCTGGCATATAAATTACGCAGCCGCGCAATAATTTAGGAGCACCATGCATGAATCCCGCTGCGTCTCCCTACATGCAGTTTAATTCACTTTATCTCCCCTATGTTTACTGTAATTGCAGATTAATTTTCGTTGATATAGAATTACTGACAATGTATTATGGACTTCCCATCGACTTCAATTGAAAACCTGTTTTTAGATAAGACTACTAATTAATATCATCACGATGGCCATGGAGTAATATGTCATATTAATAAAACTGATATTTAATTGAAAGACTAAATCACATAGTAGATTTCGTTTCAGAAGCCAACTGGTCAAGAAAAGGCTAAAATGGATGGGAAACTTTATACAGATATTAAATGTCGATGGAAGACTTACAGTAACTACAGATTTATTCTCTGGGCATGGATGATGAATGAAACATCTATTATGGCTTCGGTTATAGAAATATCACATAATGGTTTTTATATTCATACAGCCATACATATTTTATCTGTAATTTTTATTGGCATACCGTTAGTATATTCAGAAATCTGCATAGCACAATACACAAACTGTAATGTGATTTCAATGTGGAACTTCTTTCCGCTTTTCCGTGGTGTTGGAAATGGAGCAGTTTTCTTAATAATTTTAAAAACAATATATTTAACTGTCTTGTCAACTTGGTATTTAGAGTACACAATTTATGCAGCTATAGATCCACCACCGTGGTTTACATGTGCTGACTATAACGATTCCAAATGTATGGTTAAACGAATCAATGTCTCTATTTTTCAACACTGCTTAGAAACTCAAATACTTTTCGATGATGACTGTGGCATGAAAACAGCTAGTAACTGCTTCTTTGAGAGGATAATTGGTAACAATAATACGAAGATATCTACGGTTTGCGCTTATCCTTGGAAAGGAATACTAGCAAGTACATCTATATCTGTAGCTTTATTTATATTGTCAATAAAGAAAGAAAAGTTCATCCAATTTGTTGTTAAGATATTAGCATGTTATTTATGCCTGGTATTAATATTATTATTATGCATACCTTTGTCCACTAGCGGGGTATGGCATACAAAAAAGATTGCATTAGACTGGAATAATTACAATTTCAAGACGTGTTATACATCTATAACAAAAGGTTTCTTATCTGTAGGGACAGGATATGGTATAATTGGATATCTGTCCAGAGATGTTTCGTTTAGAAGCCCTTCTATGATGACATCTATTTCAGTACCATTATTTTCGGTATTTTTAACTATAATGTTTGCACTAGTTACGTTTAGTGGCATTAAAACTATGTCGTATTATCATGGTGAAGAGGAAAATGTCATTGAAATGGGTTCATCCACATTTTTCTTAAATTTTGCCTCTATATCAGAAATTTTAAGTTATTTTGATGGAATGCCAGTTTGGGGATTAATTTGGTTTTCATCAGGCTTTTTGTGTTTATTTGTAAATTTATGGATTTTATATTTATTTCTACGGGAATCACTAATGGAATGTTTCTATTTTGTACGAAAATATCCTAATTTATGTTATGGATTATTATATTTGTTTATCTTTTTTTTTTCTTTGCCCTTCTTTTGCTCAGATTTAACTGGTACTCTGGCAGATGCTACTGAGCTACTACAAATTGTAAGTAGTATATTCTTTTCTTTATCCTTATATTGGATTTATGGGTATAAGAATCATAATATCGATATTATCTTTATGATTGGTATTAAAGCTAGTTATTTCTGGAAAATTACGTGGTTAGCAAATCCACTTTTATTATTATCTATTTTATATGCAAAATCTATTCACTTTGATGTTACAGAATACAATGATTCGTTTTACTTTCATTTTTTGACACTATATTGCGATGTTCTGTTACTTTATATTATTATAGGAATTTATTTTACAATTATTATTATGGGTTTATTAGTAGAACTTATGGTTTATTATAGAAATAAAAAGTTACTATATATATTATTTCCAATAGAAAATTGGGGGCCTAAGGAGGCGATTTTATTCAGAAGTAGAAAAATATTTGTTCCCGAAATAATGACGAGAGAGTTTCTATACAGACAAATTAGGATACAAGGGTATTGTAAAAAGCAAAATGCCAAAATTGAAGATGACGAAACAAATAAAAATATAAGTAGGCAAACATCTACACTATTGTCAATAGATGAGTCGGAATGGAGTACTTTCACATCGAATTAACTAAAGTGAAATCACATACTTGGCTTTTCATTGGATCTGTATTAATTTGACACATATATTGTCCTTGGTCTTCCTCTTGAACATTTCTTATGTGCAGGTTCCAAATAGATTGTCCGTTATGTGAAACGCCAACTCGATGATTATTTGTTATAACATGAACATGGATGGCCTGTATAGCTTTAGTATCTGCTTTCACCCATCCTACCTGTATATAAAATTATGTTATATTTTATAATATTTAATATATTATTTCAAATATGTTATATTATTTTGATTTACCCTATATCCTCCAAGATTGTAGACTAGACATTTAAATGTAGCATCACGTCCTATTGGTACGGTCAAATTTGTCAATGGCTCAGCAAATTCCGGTTGAAACGCTTGGCCTGAAACAGAAGTATTTCATTACTCACAACTTGTGATATTTATTTATTTACTACATTTAAACATCATTTATTTACCATACCGACAAGCTTTGAATCCAGTCCTAACATAAATATTGCCAACAAGTATAAGGACCACCATGGCTGCTGCATATTTTTAGTCCTTCTGCTTCTATTCAGCTCCAAAAGCCTGGGATATCCATGTGTCTATTGTGACAATGAAAGATAACAAGTTAAAATAACACCAACATTTATACCACGTTTATATAGAGCATATATCTACGACTGTTTATTTGTAAGGATTAAATTTCTCTTGGTAGAATATAATTTCAAATACATATATAAAAATTAGCAATATTTCGTTTCAAAAACGTGACATTTTGAAAGTTAATGCTTTTTTACGTCCAGATTACAGAACTACTTAAGTATCATTATAAAATAAATATTGATGTAGTAATAGTTATTTTATGTTTATTTGTAAATTGTATCATTAACCACCGAAAGTATACAATGATCAAGAAACCGGTGATGAGTGATTCATCATTTATAACCATATGTACTACAATTACTTATCTGACATGCAAGTGATGACACGATATAAAGAAAAGCTATTTCGGTCCCTTCCGCGCATCATTTTTTTGCGATTTCATCAGTCAATAATGATTCGATGTCTATATCTGTATGTCGTTATATCACATAACGTTGTTATACTCTTTCAAAACGAGTACGGACGCGATCGCGTACCGGTAACTACTTTTCCGCAAAAGTGTGATAATGCTGGAGAAAAATTCGAGGCACATCGGCTTGGCCATTTCGATACAGCGGCCGACATATTGGAATTTTCTATCATTTTAGACAACACATTGTTGTTTGGACGAGTATTTTATGTTTGTTTTAGAATCAGTTCCCTTGGGCTTTGTGTGAATTAGAACGGCTTCCAAACGACGGTTGCGGCTTTTTTATTGACTCTGCGTGATTTGTATCTATCTAAGTGGTCTTTTAGATTTGCATTAAACTGGTTAAGGTTAGATAAGTTTTATAATTGTATTTAAAGTATAAATGGACTCAAACTTTAATTTATTTCATATGATTTTTTATATATATTAAGTTAATTTGAATATCGATTATTTTTATTTTATTAGTAAATTTCTTCTGATTATATAGTGTAGGTAGATAGTGCCCTTGTTTAGGATTTAATATACGTGTAAAGTATGTCCTTTTAGTCCGTAATATGCCCTAAATTCATCCAGACGCCATCATTAGTGAAGCTAGTATCATAATAATAATACATTATTGTAATGAATTCACAGTCCTGAAATTGTTACACATAATATAATGCTAAGTTATTGTGCATCCTAAGTTATTCCTACAACATATCTACACGTATACAAAGTTTCATCACGCGTTTATTATCGTACATTTACGCACCTCATGAAGAGGTAGAATATGTCCTGATTCCGATCTTTATGAACTGAATTTGGAATCACATTTACGTTGATGTCAATATACATACTCGTTAACAGACGTAATATTACTTTTCGTAGTAATATACTTCTACCTTACATAAAATAAACATAAATAAACGTAGTAACATTATATACATAATTTATTGTGATATATATACGGGGACGTAATATTATTTCAATGTAAATTAACTACATAAATAAAAGTAGTAGCAAAAATACGTAAGTAAATACGTAATTTCAATTTAAATAGTTTCTAATGTAGTTAAGCAAATAAGGGAGATTAGATTCATAAAAAAAATACAACGATATATACAAAAATCAATTCCTTTTCGCCACATTCTAACAAAGCATCGTAATTACTACAGCATTTTTTTGATTGGTTACTGTGGCCGATGGACGCCGGAAACACCTAATCAGCCTAATCCAAGGTCCGTACTCCTGGCAATACTCCAAACTAAAAACGTTTATTTTAGTGTCTCATACAAAACTTAAATAAATATGAGGGATCTACCTACTAGCAAGCCTACTGAATGCAAAATGACATATATGTCCGTTGTCAATAATTTCAGCACCGTACGCGATATGAGGATTTCCTTGGTATTTTATTTACACATTGATTTTTATGTTATTAAAGTATTTATATGAATCCCTAACATTTTTCAAAATATTCGCAGTCTTTATTAGTTATAACGTAGAATTCTAATGGTAACCAGTATTTTCAAATCGGTCCAGTAGTTTCCGAGTTCGTTCAATACAAACAGTCAACCAATGAATTCTTTCCTCTAAATCGTATTTCTCGTATAGATACAAAAATTATATCATAACAAAATAAAGCAACGTTCAGCATTTTTACAAAAATAATCTTCACGTCAATTACCAAAACGACAAGAGATTAATCGAATGTTATGCAACATTTGTTGTTAAGCAACATTGGTTTATGACTGACTTTATTAAATGCCTAATAAAGAGAAATTTGTATTTACTTAATGTAAATATTATATATAATATTTTTACATAATGTGTAATTTTCAAATTCATTATAATAAATCTTATAATAAATTTAAAAAAAGAAAAACTTTTGATTTTTCCAATTATACCTACCCACAATTTTATTGAAGTGCACATGTACACGTGTTCATACACACGAGTAATCGTTTATTTAATAAAATTGCTAAACCTATACAAAAAAAATATTAGACTACAGAATAATATCCTCTATAAATTCTACCAATTACAAGATAAAAAATAAGTGGTATTTTAAAAGAAGGATTTCATAAACTTAGGTTTATGAATGTTACCACAGAAATATTTTCTACTTAAAAATTTTAATATCTCTTTATTTTATTTGAAAACAAGTTTTTCGTAAAATAAGTATTTTTAGGAAGTAAATATGTGCATGTATATGAATAATATATAAGTTGAAATTAAATAATCTGAACAGATTCTAATAGAATATATCTGAGCCGACCGTTTTAGACAAGCTTGTTTCCGAGATGTCCGTCCGAGTTAGTTTAAGTTTGTGCATTGACGGAAATTTTATACCGAGTACTGACAAAATATTACAATATTTATACGACGTTAATGCAATAGTCACATGAAGTATTTGAGTAACTATTATTTCTGAAACAGAAATGTTAACAATAATTATTGGATAAAACTTAATTGAAAGTATTTTATATATTGTCATTTTTTATTATTGTACTGAAATTATCCATACAAGTAGAGTTGTATTATAGTTTTTAATAATAAAATAATAGCTGTTTATGATAAACTTAAGAAGGAATGACTGAGACTTTGTAGTACATTCAATTCCAAAAATTAACGCTTGTAGCACCTAATGCGCTAAACAACTTGGCTGGTAAGCAAATTGATTAACCAATTTAGGTTGTTCAACTTTCTGTAAACGAAAAAGTATTCCAAGTTTGTGTAAACCAAAGGAAAACAAGGAATACGAAACTCGAAGAACTGAATTCATACATACAAATTTACATAATGACCGAGGCGTGGAGAGTGATTAGAAAAATGTTCAATATTTACTGTTTAAAAAATTTTGTTCTCTATTTAAATTAATATCATAAGAACTATCCAAAATAATATATGCCAAAACTAAACTAAACTTCTGAACAGTTCACAATTAAATTTAACATGACGAGAGACTGTATGATGTAGACGGTTATATGGCTAGCTTTTATATTTCAAAAGATAATCTGGAAGAGAATAAAAGTTGAAATTTTGTGTAGAGGTACGAGAGAGTGGAGGAGGAGGATATTTAAAAAAAATACCAGTTATAAATGGGATTTTTGTCTTGTGTAAGGATTTAATATATTTAAAGAAAATCGCGACTTAACTAGAAAAACTACTCTTTTCAGTTATAGACGACATAGAGTTACTAACGTAATCCAAGCGGTGCTCCTGTAGGACCACTTTTTTATCCGCCCATCTAGCTATGCGTCCATCACGATCATTTTCTCCAGAATGGTTAAAGATAATAAGCCCATACTTTCTATATAAGTAAACATTAGTACCAATTGAATAAAATGTTAAACTTCTTTTCACTAATAGCGATGCGGGCTGACAACGTGTAGAGTTTTTTAGGTTACTTTAATGTTTTAATTTGTCTGGATATTAATAAAAAAAATTACGTTGTATTTTATGTATATTTTTACCTGCGACTTTGTGTAACAGTCGTATCACATTAATTGATTGGAATAAAGTCCCGTAATCAACAATTCGATGAGCCTAAAATAATATAATGTAAGAAATAATTATTCATAAATTTAATTTATGAATGATGCTATGAATGATAATAATTTGTACAGAAATAATACGGGGGTATAATAAAGCAAAAAAAAATTGATTTAACTTCAACTAAATTTAAAGAAACTTTAAAAAGGGTGATTCCCTTTGAGAAAACATCGACTGACATTTGAATTTATAAAAACGTGGTAATGAGAGGCAACCTTTATTTTAAATAACGTTATTGAATTAATAACGTTAGAATAATAGAGTTTTAATATTCCTGAATATTACAACTACATTTTCAACCACAATATGGCAACTCGAAACCTACTTTAAAACGGGGCAGTTTTCAAATTGACTATATTTCTTATTACGCACATATTATAAAAATGGTTTAAGTTAGTAAATCGTAGATATTAAACTTGCAAGGAGGAAAAGGCATTGTTAATAACGTGAATCCTATTGGCTGGCAATTTACCATATCTATACCTTCACGAAGTTTATGCTGAAAACCATCGTGATACATTTCTGATCAATTTGCTACGATGCAACAACTGACCTGACCTTATGCTCTTACCATCTTCCACTGGTAGCGTAATCCCTTAAGGTGTGTGCAACATTCTAATTTTAATAAGTCACCTATGTATATAGACAGTTTGAAAATACCATGTACATTACAGACTATGTTTATTATTGATTTCTTAGCCTTCACGGATGAGCCGGCAAGTAGTAAACAGACTACTACTATCTTTGTACGAATTACACTGATAAATGTACTTAAACTTTACGTTCAGGTTCCTGGAATCTTCATTAATCCGTTAGTTGGGCAAATAGCAGAAAAAGCAATGGGTACAGAGGCATTAAACAATGAAAATTCAGGGGTACTGAGGTAAAACCAAGAGCGTCACAGTGTATCCTTCGATGTACATGGTGCTATAGGTTATTGAACATTTTCCATCAATTGGCGCATCAGCTTGTCTGTTATTTCAAATTATATAAAATACTAGCTGTCCCGGCAAACGTTGTTTTGCCATATAGATTAATAACGCTATAAAAAAATAGGGGTTGATGATAGAAGGGTGAAAATTTAGGATTGTATGTATTTTTGTATGTTGTATCATAAAAAAATAGAAACTAAAAATTTGGCTAAAAATAAAATAAAAAATTAGGTGGACTACCCCTAACATTTAGAGGGATGAAAAATAGATGATGGCCGATTCTCAGACTTACTCAATACGCTCACAAAATTTCATGAGAATCGGTCAAGCCGTTTCGGAGGAGTATGGGAACGAAAACTGTGACACGAGAATTTTACATATAAGATTTTAAACTACCTTGATTAATTTTATAAATCATCAAATATCTCTGATGTTGCCTATATCTTACAAGTTATATCTTACAAGTATACGTAGTAATTGGAATATAGTAGAATAATAATTTTTATTTTTATAGATAATGATATACAAGCTGGACATTTTATGAGTTTTCTTTTCATTCATTACATACGAGACATTATTTTGATCATTTATTTACCCTTTTAGAGTATTGACGTATATGGTGAAGAATAGTATAGAAAGGTAACGAAAAGTTTAACATTCATATAAAAAAAAAGGCGACACTTTTTTAACCAGTGAAATAGCTCAATAGTCGCCCACATGAGGAAAATGGTCAAATGCGAAATAACTTTTAACTTTTTAAGAATAACGGTATATACGGACTTACCTTTCGGCGGGAACTCTATCGACAATCAAAAGCTAATCAAATTGTAGCAAAGTTTGGTGCTAACTTTTTTACGAGCTTATATTTCTTCGCTATATTTGGGTGATTATTTTAAAAGAATGTTATTTGAGAAAGTTCCGCGCGGTCGTAGGAAGTTTGTGGGGTCCCTTGGGAGAGGCGGCGCGGTGCGGACGGCGGAGTCGAGGGCGCGGCACACACTGAGCGTCGATTGCTCATTCAGTGCCACTCCAGGCCGTTATTCTTACGCAGATGTCCGTATGATGAAGGCAGATATGAAGCCGACAAAATTCGGACATAGTCACGTATATTTTGTATATGCGGCTACAGATGCAGTATCCACTGCGTAGTTTTCATATCTAAAGGAACAACAGTAACTGAAGGGGTATAAGAATATACGATTTATTGTGCATGTTTAGTGTTATTTAAGTATTCACGGACATATTTATTTTAAATAATATTTGTTGACATTTAGAAAACAAACTAAGAAACATTATTAAAGTATGAATATGGCGGCTTAATTCAAATTATAATAATGTACCAATATTTCGTAAAACTATTTTAACATTATTGTGGAAGTTTTTTACGATAACATTATGTTGTGTAATTTTATGACTCGTATTTTTATTTGTTACCATCATCATCATCATATCAGTCATTCATTGCAGGCTACTACCATAGCCAATATAGAAGTAATGTAGCTTCTATGTCTAATACTAATAAAATATTACATAGACATAGTTATTTACAATAACATTGTTGTCATCTATTATCAATACTCTTATTAATTTAATTAGATACTCTTAATTTAATATGTATTTAAGAGGAAATCAAAATAAATCGTTTTTACATATATTTTGATTTCCTTCTAACTATTAAGAAACAAATTTAACGAAACGTATTAAAAACTCAAAAGTACATCTTGAACGTATTATTTCAGTTAAAAATAGAAGATAATGCTACTAAAAGGATAAATAAATATTCCTTTTTCTTGCCCTTTTATAAGATTTCTCTTATGCAAGATCGTACAAATATGTTAACGGACATTTCATGTTTAACTAGGTCAGAAATAACAATCACTGTACTTATTGGGAAAATATGACTTGAAATGTCGTACGAACATTTTTCCAATATCATAGGCACAATATTGTATATTTTTAGAGTACTATTTGTGCATTCACATATAATAGTATGGTCTTAGACATTTATTCATATTTACTTATTTTCCCATTATGTTATGATGACACGAAATATCTTAACACTACTTGAAATTATTTCAAGAACGTACATTCCTAAACCATGACAAACGTCTACAAATCTCTGTATAATGAGGCATTGAAATCCAATTTGACCGAAACCTACTTATAAAGTTAATGAAATGGAGATAGAATAATTAGCCACTTCCCGCTAATTTCCAAAGTTATTAATTGAACCGTTAGAAAGGGCCGTCATCTGGTGTGCCATGGGCGGTACGGGCGGCTATCTTACGCTATGTGTGTATGCGCTCCAAATGACGTCGTCCCATTGTGTCAGCACAAAAGCTCATTAGCGATTAAATTTATTCAAACTACTGCTGACGCAAACAACCTGTATGGACGTCTGGCTAACAACAAACAATTATAAAATACTGAATTGTAGTTACTTTCTAAATGTAAAACGGCTTCTAATTACACTTAGTTAGTAACAGCAACGATTTACACTTATTTGGAAGCAAGACTGAATCGAATTCATAATTTTAGGATACATATTTTAAAGAACGTTTCAGACATGAATATCATATCACCATATTATACTGGGTCTTTGTGCACAACAATAAGAGAAGAAGACTTTTAGAAGTACAGTTTTTCTTTTTCATGTATTGAAGATGACAAATTGTAGTAATATATATATATTATGTATTCTGCTTACTTAGTTACCATACGAACTTATCCGGCTAATAGCAGAGACTAGTAGTAACGATTGACTTTTTTTATTAATTTGATACAGAGTAACATACTTCATAATTTTATCCTTAGGATATCGTAAGATGAAACTAGGGAAATTAATGATAATAATAATAATAGACAGTTAGCTACTCTGATGATAATTGCTTGTTTATAGTTGGCGTGTGTAACATTATTTCATTCAGGATTCTTAATTGAGGTTTCATTATAATGATTGCGTACGTATATTTTTCCTCAAATAAAATAAGAAATAAATTAAGCAAACTTTATTAAACTTCAAGGTAAAGTTAACAGATAAATATAGTGAGTTCAATGTTTTTAAATAACATTAGAAATATAAATAGTACGAACAAATATGAAAATTAAATCATTTATCTTTTTCGGGCAATGGTGGATTATTGTAGCCTTCATGAAAATTGCTTGTGTAATTCCATGGTGATTCCAGTTTATAACTACGGAACTCTTGTGCAAATTCTACTGGTTCATAAACAATTTTTTTCAGATCGTCATCATATCTGACCTCTGTGTAGCCAATTAGAGGGAAATCTTTTCTAAGAGGGTGACCATTGAAGCCATAATCTGTAAGAATTCTCCTTAGATCAGGATGATGACTAAATACAACGCCAAACATGTCGTATATTTCTCTTTCAAAATATTGACATCCATTCCACAAAGCATATGCTGAATGTATAGGAGTTAATTCATCAGTGTAAGTTTTCACACGTGCACGCTGTCCAAATCTCATGCTGAGAAGAAAATATATCAATTCGAACCTGTATTCCCTGCTAGGCACATCTATTGCAGTTACAGCAGAGCAAGCATTGAAACACGCATGTTGATGATGGCACAAAAAACTCAACACTTGAAATATACCTTCAGGAGCAACCAATATTTCTAGTTGATCAGTGTGTTGCATTTGAACTTTTTGAACATACTTAGGCATACACGCAGCAACGTACATACCGAATTCATAGAGCCTTTGCCGTTGACAATTGTCATGACTTCTAAGCGTATGATTCTTATATTCAAGTGGTTCTAAGCAAAATGGATTTCCAACATCAACTTGATCTTCCTGCTGGTAGAAAAATGAAGATTTATAAAAGAAACTTTTGAAATTTTTCGTAATGCTTCTTCTTGTGAATAACGATAAGATATTCATTTTTAAAATAAATGTCAATATTTATTTTATATTATCGAAATGTCGATACTTTTTGGTGTTTTATATTTTGTATAACCTGCCTAAATTTTTTCACTGGTTGACATTGCTCATACCGTTATCGCAGAAAAAATTGAAAAGGGCCTTTTAAAAATAATGTATTATTATTATTTGGTTAGTTAATAGATCTCTAAAGTAACTAACATTATGTATTGGTTACCATGAATATAAAAATTGCTTTACATACGACATATACATAGAGAGTTTATGGAAAACATTTTTATTTCTACTTATAAATTTTATAAAATAGCAAAATTATGAATAACTAAAAAGTCTATCTATGTTGCGAACTATTTTTATACCTTTTTTATTATCTATGTATTTTATAATATTATATTGTTTTTCTTTGACATAAGTCATTAATACACAATTATTTTACGACTATACCGGTGCGGTTTCTTTTGCTCGTTGTCTTGGTTTCCATCTTTCACAATCTATTTAAACACTATTAAATATAATTTTTTTTATTATAGGACAATAATAAAAATATATTGGGCTCAATTATGTTTTAAAATGTATGATTTTTATTATAAAGATTTTCCTATTACCACTGTCATTGATAAATATTACATTATATATATTTGAAATACATTATATTAACAGGTTTCAATAAGAATGGAAAGGATAATAAACCTTTTAACCATTATGCAGCTACCAAAGTATATAAATAATTATAAGTCAGCGCTGTTGTACATGTTTTTTTTAATATTTTTTTTTTTAATTTATAAGCTATGATAGCTGCATTGAATCACAGTAAGTCAGGAAAAAACAAATATTAAAAAAAATGTTAAATGTATTCGACATATAATTATACCAATAATAACAGCAGACTAATGTCACTCGGGAGAGCATTTCTAAATCTGAACACGACACTACGGTGTCGCAACCAGTCATTAAATTTTGATTAAAATTTTATTTCTATATTATTTGTTTGTATTATCGTACCCATGTGAATACTTAACTGTAGAAATATATTTCAACAATTTATATTTATAATAATTTAATAAAGTTTTATGTACATTATACTTTGTTTGTATTTCTATTTTAGAAGTAATATTATTATTCATCGTTTATAAATGGCCTATATGTCTTCAAAAATAATAACTGATAAACTATGATTTCATGGTAATAAACCTACAACTTGAGTTTGTATAAACTTCACGAAGAAACTATCCAAATATCAAGTCAAAAATAATGAAATCCAATAATAGAAGCTAATGATAACATAAAACTGTCACTTACTCAACTACGTTACAGGACGAACAAGGCTTTTCTCTTCGGATGAAGTTTTCAAGCAGAACTTTAGACATGTGTCTCGTAAGACTACTGCTCTACGGCGTGCGAGCGGTACTCGCGCTGCACACAAGTACAATCCTACTGGGAATTCTCAGATTGAAACAGAACTCTAAAATTAATTTGACTTTTACTACTATATTTCTTGATTATCATAATATATCGTGGTCTTATTGTTAAGTTTAATATGTTTCAGTTAAAAACTAGCCAATATTTTTATCATGCCAGCTTTATATCTAAAAATTATTACATATAAATTATCTCAAGTAGCAGTGTAGAAAAAAATATATTAATAAATCTCAATTATAAACTATTAACTCTTTACAGCACTAGACGTACCTATAAATTTTGTTTATGGATTTATACTATACAGTCGTGGGGTATTAGTGGAAAATAATATGATGAATATGAAGGCAGATCAATTAACCCATCGTGGCGAATTACTAGGAATTTATCGGGACGGTTACTAAGGAAACTACAGGTACAGCACGTGGTCGACATACACATTACATTGCTAGCAATGGGTCATTAGTTTTAATTACTAGCAATCCCTCCCCTACCAGATACTACTATAAAGTATATAAATTACGGAGTAATGAGGTACAAAAGGTGATCTTATTGCTCCAGCAATCTCTTTCATACAACCTTTGGGTAGAGAAAAGACGTCCGAAAATGATATATAACACATAACTGAATAAAGAAAAAAAAATAAACCTATTCATACAATACATGCTGATACAATGAGATCTACTGACTAGCTATACATTACTCTTCATATATAAATACATAGTAGACATAAACCAAGCGCACCATAGTTAAAACCTAGCCATATATTAATCTTTTAGTCTCATATATAAAACAGAAAGCTGAGGCTGCACTTGATTCAGTGTTTCCCGCCGTCCAACTCCAGATTGTGAGCCGCAACACCACAACGTCCGGTTTCCGGGGGCGGAGCGACGCATGCGCTGCATCCCGTGACATCACACGTTGTTACATCCGTTTGAAATGGTCATATAATTTAAGTAAAAGTTATATGAATGTGAACCTATTTATAATATAATAAAAAATAATACGAAAAATTACTTGTACTTTATTATTTGTCTATAATTCACCTTCACAAAACTCAACTGAGGATGATTTTCTGTTTTAAAAAAAATATCCTCAAATAACATACCTAATTATAATAAAATAGCTATAGATAAAATATAAAAAATAGTCAAATCTTTGGTATATTAATTCGCAATCAACATACTTACATATTTCAGTCTATCATCATCATCATCATCATCGCAGCCCGGAAGACGTCCACTGCTGGACATAGGCCTCCCCCAAAGATCTCCACGACGATCGGTCCTGCGCTGCTCGCATCCAATACCTTCCAGCGATCTTGACCAGATCGTCGGTTCACCTTGCTGGAGGCCTTCCCACGCTGCGTCTTCCGGTCCGTGGTCGCCACTCGAGGACTTTACTGCCCCAGTAAATTCAGTCTATACTGAAGAAAAATAATAAAACATATCTGTTATATACTTAATATCTTAACAGAGAAGAAGGGAACTTCGCACATACATAAATATAAGTGAATAAGTTATTATATAGCACTGAGAAAGAGGGTCATCTAAGTAAGATTCTGAATCTATATATTTATGTATTATAGATAATAAAGTAAATCGTCTGAACATACCTGTCTAGACGGGAAGATATAAATAAATGGGAAAATGTAATTATGAGCAACGTATTGTCATGGAATAATATTTACGATACAATATATGAACTAGAATTTTAACTGATTATTGTGAATCAGTTAAAATTCTAGTCAATTCTAGTAAATCTAGTATTTACATGAAAAAAAAGGATGGAATTTTTTATATCTATCGCTTTTATATATACTTTTTTCAAGATTTAATTATTTTATGTGGATAGTTTAAACCATACATAAACGATATCCACTGACTATTTAAATAAATAACAAGCTACGTTGTACAGGGAACAAGTTTTTATTAAAGATTCAAATTGTTACATAAATATAGAATTGAATTTAGACCGAGTGCCCAGACCGGATACTGAGATCCCAAGTTTTCAGCTATGAAAACCCCTCAGTATCATTTTGAATATTTAACATCAACGTACATTTAGCGGCGGAAGTGGATTATGCTAGATGAAAATGAGAATTAATTGCAGTACTGTTTTGTTTTAACGATGGGTTTTAGGTTGGAATTTGTGTAGAAAATTTAAGATGTTGTAAACCTAAAAAGCGATATCATTTCTAAAATATGGGATCAATAAGAAACTGTACTCATTTGATTAAAGTAATTAATCAACCAAACCAAAATAAGTAAGAAACGGTATTAAGCTAATTAATTCTATTTGCATGGCAAAAGTTGTTCGTGGAGAGGATTTCATTTAATGTTAGATTAAGACTAAGAATAATAAAAAAAACGTAAGAAAACTGTGTTTAAAACAAATCTGTTCTTTGCCAGTTTCAACTCTCAATTGAATCTAAATATTTAACTATATTGAACTGGATGATAGGCGAAAAATATAAATACAAAAAAATACGATCATAAACGGCTAAACGATCCTATATGAATAAATGATTTAGGATTTAATGTCCTAAGCCCAGTTATTTAAATTTCATTCTAGATATTAGTTGGTTATGGTATGAGCCTTCATTTTTAATGTCTACTGTGGTGTCGTGGTTTAGCACACCGTCTTATTCAGTAGTAAGTAATATATTTTCATGAGTATGATTGCTTGTACTTAGTCTGTTTTTTTTTTTTCATATATTTGTAATACAAAAAATATGTACACAATACAGTGTATCAAAGAATTACTTCATTTAACCATAGTATAAGCTCTGCTTTGTTTGAGACTAGAAAGCGCTGTGGTAATTATTCTGGGTTATTATGTATTAAAGAAAATACATACTGAATATCATGTTTAGAACCTACATCTATAAAGTTGGTAAATAAATACTCTTATTGGATTTCTTTTTATAGATAGCTTTATGAATTAGAGACAAGTAAATATAAACGAATTGCCTTTATTATTCAGTAGCCATATATCATATATGTGAAATACAAATATACGACAAGCTTTCCTACAATATGGTTCTCCACGATTACATAGAATAGTAAAATATTAAGAGTAAATAAGTATGAAAGCATAATACCCATATGTATTTCCTATATTATTCGTAAGTTTCGTACTAATTTCCTGTATTTTGGAGATACATATAATCTGTAATATCGTGTAATTTCGACAACAAAACTTAAATTGGTTTGTATGAAATATTAAAGTAATTTTAAAATGTATCATTTAACTTTAATAACGTTACACTGCTTGCAAATTTTTACAACTTAGTGTGTATTAGCTAAATTTAAAATTTAAAACCAACATAAATACAGCTTACAAAAATATCTGCACAAATGAATCTTGTCAAAAATAAGTTTTGAAAAAATGATACTCCGCGTACTCGTGGCGAATAACATGTTCGGCGAACTTAATTTTCAAATATTTACAGATTTAATCTATTTACGGACCTGATTTGGGTATTTCTACACGGCAACTGCATTTGTGCGTATTACCCGTACCATCTTAAAATATCTTAATAAATACTAAAACTTTTGTATAAATTTTTAACTGTTAGCGGT